CACACTCACAATTCCTTCTGTAGTTTCCTTTTTTTGTTGTTTTTGTTTTTGGCTACCACACAAAGCTGTTAGCTGTTAGTCACGCTCCTGTCAGAAATATGTTTTAGTTATGCTACCTTCAAATGGATGTTTTAGCCTCAGTGTGCAGTCATGCATGTGCAGGGTTTGTTTTTATCTTAATGTTATAGAAGATGAAAAATTCTTTGTGCTCACCTTAAATCTCAGGTTGACATCTGGAGGTATGAGATGATTTTGTAATATAATAGCTAATCTCAAAGCCAGTTGTGAACCAGTATTCAGCATACACAAGTGTCATGTGGAAACATGGATAATATACTTTACAGTGAAGTGGCAGACATCCTTTATGCAGCTGGTAACCCAACTTTAAATTTCCCACTTACTATACATATCTAATTTGTAATGTATAATGTTGAGCTTGTGTCATGCAAGCTAAGGGTTTTAAAAGTGGAAAACCGCTGACATTTAATGTTAAAACTGAACTGTGAAAGTTTGCCTTGTTGCCATTACTGAATAACCCATTGACCATACAGCAAAAGGCGCTGTTGTTCTTTGTGGTTTGACAGCAAGCAGCGCACTTAACTTTTTCTCAGTAAAATAACAGGAAAGAACAGCAAGCGGAAACATACTTGAGCAAAACATATGTACAGATACATGCGCGCACACGCACATTGTATACAGAATTCTTATGAAGTTCATCACGGTTGTGGTTGTTCTGTGGTCTGTGAAGAAAAAAGTCAAAGGGAGCCATCAGTCGGCTTGAGGCACCTCCTGTATCGCTGATGTACTTGTTTTATCTTGAACTAAGCTGCCAGTGGTGGTTCAGTGATCAAAAAGTGATCTCAATATAGATCAGAAAAAGTACCTTTTAATATTATACTAAATGTGAGTAAGAATAGTCAAATATGAAATATTTGAGTACCCAGAATGCATGTTATGTTCTTCCATTGATTTGTGGCAGTGGTTTGGCTGGGGTCTGATTCTGATGATTTTAGATAAGAAGGTTGAATGTATGATCATTTATGAATTTGGCAGCTGCTTGTAATACTATCATGATTCCACCACTGTGATACGACATTCTAATATCACATACAGTGGTCATCAGCACCAAACAGTCATGAAAATGCTGTGATCTATTTTCTAAGATGCTGCTCATATTTGGAGGAGCATGCTGTTGGAAAAAACACACACATACATTTGGCTCAGTTTTGGCTGGAGAATGATCCTCTTAATTTTTCTTGAACCATCCAGTCCTTCAATTTAGAATAGACAACACGATATTTAAGATTAGCATGCTCACACAGAGAATGTAAGGGCTGCAAGGTGGTTCAGTGGTTAGCACTGTTGCCTTCCAGCAAGAAGTTCACCGGTTCAAGTCCCAGTAAGGACACCCGGGATCTTTCGCCATGTTCATATTCTCTCCGGGTCTTCCCACAGTCCAGAAGCATGTTGAGTTTAATTGGTGATTCTAAATTGTGAGTGTGCTTGGTTGTCTGTCTCTAAGTGTAGCCCTGTGATAGACTGGTTACCTGTCCAGGTGAACCTGCCTTCAACCTGAGTCAGCTGGGATAGACTGCAGCCCCCTACGACCCTAGTGAGGATTAAGCGGTGAAAAGATAATGGATGGATGGACAGAATGGAAAAACCCAAACACTCACCCCATTTTAATTAAGAAGGAGTCAAATCTTTCTGCCTTAAGGGCTGACTGCTAAATGGCAATCCCTATAAAAAAATACAAAAATAGCCCAATATTCTTGTCAAGGTATACGAGTTGTTCTCACACAGATGTTGTTCTCATGGGCCCTACTGGGCCATGTAAAAACATGGATAAAGATGGTTGATGAATGATTGTACTTCACTGTTACTTGATAAATAAGTTTGCTATGTTAGGATAAATTACTGAACTTTATTTGCATTGAATATGTGAGCGTGCAGGCAAAGGGTTTGACATCAGTATTACTAATCTGTTTGTGTGTTATTTTGTGACAGCGTGCTGAGGAAAGTGGGAGTCGCTTAACCTTTTTATTATTTGTGGTATGTCATACACGGGGGATTTCAACATGCTGTTTATGGAGAACGTGGCAGTTTTAAGTTGCATTTTCACCAGCTCTTAGTCAACGAGAGTGGCAGCAAAATAGAGGGGAGGGGGGGAATTCCCCTCATATAGGACTAGAGTGTGGCTGGGAGTTGAAATGTAAATTTGGAGAAACCTTAAGGGTATTTCTCACCAATAGTTTCTTTTCCAGAACAGTTGCACACCCAGCACTTTGTTTAATCTCACTTCCTTTAATATGATTCACCAGTATTTCCACTGGTGGGAAATGCATTGCTTGAAAGCATTTAGAGGAAATAAATTTATAAAGTGTCATAACACACTTACACTGCATATAAAATGTATTTACCCTATTTGGAAGTTTTACCCTTTTATTGCTTTTTTAACATTGAATCATGGCCAATTTTATGTGTTTTTTTGTTTGTTTGTTTTTTGTTTTTTAGAGTTTACAAAAAAGACTTTTTCATGTTAACCCTTTATAGGGCACTCCTTGAAATAATTGGAAAATGAAAATTTCAACCCTAGGGTGTTATTGAAGGACATTTCAAGATGTTTTTACTTTTGTGACTTCAAAAAAATGTTGCAAATCAATGATCATCTTGATCATTTGTAATTTATAATAAATAAAAGAAAAAGTAACAAACTGCAAAAAACATTTATTTAGAAGTATTTCGGTTTGAAGTAATGATACACAACCAGTAGCAAAGTATTTATTAAGTGCTTGGACGGTTCATCTAGCACCATTCTTCTTGGGGTGGTGGTTTTGGCACGAATCTCAAAAAATAAATCAAAGTGGAGTTCAATGCAAACCAGTGACAAAGCGTTATTAAAGTGCCTGGAACATGTGTTTAGTGACATTGTTCGTAAGGTAGTGATATTGGCACGAATATAAAAACTAAATCAAAGTGCACGTGGTTCTTCAAACTCAAGGAGAGGCACAGGGCGGACATACTGAACGTCCAAGGAAGTTACCAAACATGGTCACTTGCCCCATAAAGGGTTAAAATGAAAGCAGATTTCTATAAAGTAAAGTTAGTTAATTTAAAATATAAAATGTGAAAATGATGACATACGTGATTCATTAATTAAACACAGGTGCAGCCAGTTAATGTTAGAAGTCCCCATGAGTGTTGTACCATGGATCACATGTTTTTATTTGATTTTTTAAAGATTTTTTAAAACCAAAGTAATTAAGGAAATTCAATAAAACAAGATGTCAGTTTAGGCTTTGCAAAAATGATTATTGTTATTTTTATTTTATTTTATTTTATTTTTTTACTGTTTTTGTTAGATTTTACAGAGCAAAGGATGATCTAGTAATTATGAATATAATCAGCAGACTGATAATAAATATAATATTCAAAACAAACAACAAAAGTAAAGACATGCCTAACACCACATCATATCATGTAGTTCACATGCTAGTTATTCAATCTGGAACAATATCAAATATCAAATGGGGGGAAAAAAAACAACAACAATGCTTTTTTAACCATGAAATGTTTGCTCGTATTTGTTGAAGTACATTAAATGTCACTGTTTAGTTTTTCTTTGTATGGACTCATGGTTTATTGACATTGAATTAAGTTTCATTTTCATTTACCAGATATATGTGTGCTCTGATCTGACCTTCTGCTTTTAACATCTTTTTTTCTTTCTGTCTGTGTGTCTCAGGCATCCATCCATCACTTTGAGAATGTTCTGGTTGTTGAACCACTCAGCACACCCTTATCTTCACTCTTGAATATTTGGCCAACGGGGCCCTCTGCAGGTAAGAAAAGGAGCAGCTTGTCATTATCAGATGAGAGTGACGAAGAAAGTGCAACAGAGAGCAACGGTGGGAACACAGGAGGAGGATATCAAGTACAGACGGGCTCTAACCTCGTCTCCTCCTCCTCCTCCTCTTCCTCTTCCTCGTCTGTGTTAGTTACTTTATCCCCTAAGCCTGAATCATCACCTAGTCTCTCCTCAAAGCAGCCATTAGACTCTTTCAAGTCACAGCTTAAAGGCCAGATTCCAACAGGCACTCATTCCAGTGCTGGACTGAAGCACTCACTAAACACAGACGGTTCAACTGGAGAAGACACCAAGGCAGATGAGATGGAGAAAGAGGTGGTGGGAGGCTGCCAGGATGTGAACCTCCTCACATTAACGTTTGGCAGGCATGAGGAGGACCAAGAAGAGGAGGACATTTCACACCACAACATACCAAAAGAGGAGCTAGAGCATAATTTTTCTTCAGAGGAGTGCAGCAGCACCCTTGTCCTGCTCTCACAAACTTCAGACTCCAAGGAAGTTGCCACAGAAACTGTTTCCTTGGGTGTTGATGAAGATGAGGAAGAGGAAGACATAGACTCTGGATATATGGGGCGCTGATGTATAACATGACTTTTATAGAAGTCTTGAAGGTGAACATTTTGTGATGTTTTCATAATGTGTGAAAAGCAGTATTTCAAAGAAAGGCTGAAGTTGTCGGTGCATGCTGAAGCACGGGTCTGGATTGAGTTCCATCAACTCAGTGTGGATGCTTTAAACAGATTGTGTGATAAATAATTCTCCTTACTGACCGTCCTCTACCTACACTGAGTGCTGAAAAGATGCTGAAGGTTTTAAGCACTGCCTGAAGTGACTGAATGACTGTCATTCTTTCATTTAAAATGGCACTTGAAGATAGGGATGACGCTCAACAGCATCGTATAACAACTAAATATGCTTCCTGTCCTGCTTATCAACAACAGATCCCTTGAATCCCTCATCAAATCTTTGAAAGTAGTTTGTCATTGTCCACCAATCCCTTTAAAGTTGTTATTTAAATATTAATTACACTTCGTCCAATGATCAAAGCAGGCAAAGAGTTAAAAACATGGTATCAGACAGGTAAACTGAGTAAAGTTCACCTTCAACTGCACCGAATACAAGTTATTTTGTGATCAGACACACAGATATCCTTAGTCTTGAAATGGTTGTGTTCAGATGTCTGTATGGAACTCAGTCAAGGCTCTGACCCTTCAAATGTATGGGTTCTTGTAATACCTGAGTGAGCAAACAATTCATTCATCATCACCTACAGTACAAATTTCATCATACTTTGATGTAATTTAGGTTAATATCATCAAACATTGTTTAGTGTGGGTGGTCTGTGAATTGCCACACTGCTGCCAGTCACAGAATCTGACAGTTATGAAGCTGAGGCCAGTTTCTCATTCTTCTGGTCATACAGTTCTTCCCCTCTGTCATAGTATTTCTATGCTAATGCCTGTAGCATCAGAGGGTGGCAAAACAGAATAATGAAATGAATGAAAAATACTTTATTTATCCCAGAAGGGAAGTTCAATCTTGTAAAAGCTCACTTTTTTTTTCTTTTTTTTAAAAATCAATATAACATATATTCTATACAACAACAACAATCATTCAGTCAGTCAATTGTCAGTCAGTCAGATTTGTTTTTTAAGGTGATGGCTGTTGGCAGGAAGGAATTCCTGTATCTCTCCATTCGACAGCAAAGCTGACGCAGCCTCCTACTAAACACACTCTGTTGGTTCTTCACTGTGTTGTGGAGAGGGTGAGAAGAATCCTCCATCATCTTCATCATCTTGTACAGCATTCTTTTTTGAACAATCAGCTCCAGTGGTTCCAGAGTTATCCCCAGCACAGAACCAGCTTTCTTGATGGTTCAGTAATCAAGAATGTGAAAGATTTTCTTGGTAATTTGTTGCCCATGGATGTTGACAACATTGCATTTTTTGAATGCATCCCTGTAGCAGGCTCAATCCCTTCAATTGCTTCTTGGGCACCCTGGTACCTCAACTGGATAAGATGGTGTCCCATGAACAGGGGGCTTTAGTTCCCAGATGCATCGGTCGTGAGTTTGACTCCCACTCACGACCCTTTGCTGCAGGTCTCTCCCCACTCTTCTCCCCGCTTTCCTGTCTATCTCTACTGCACTGAATAAAGGCACAAAGTCCAAAAAATATATACAAATAAAAAATTGTAATTGTTTCTTGTTCTTTTAATGAACGCCACTTTTTAAAGCAATTATGTATGCAGATTAGAACAAGGGGCCTCATGCAAGACTCTATCAGCATTTTTTTGTAGGTGTTGGAAAAAGCTCTGAACTGCCAGTGACTGCATTTTCATTAAAACGTTTTTAAACTCCACGACCATCGCCAGACTCTGCTTTGCACAGTTCAGACCACAACATCACAGTCACAGATGCTGTTGTCTTTATTTTAGCCAAATTATTTTCACTGTAACAAACAAAAAAACAGCATGTGCTGCACGTGTAACATCAGAGTTAGAGACTGCACCTACACATAGACACAACAACACTCTAGAAAAATGATCAATCCAAATGCCAAAATCTCATACTTCCAACAACTCACCAAGTTGGGAAAAACTCCCCTGCAACATGGCAGTGACGAGCACCTCATAGGACCATAAAGCAAGCACCTATCTGAGCACACTTGAATAACTTTACACTTATTTAAGAACAGTGATGGGAACAACGGCATTACAATAAACAGCGTTACTAACAGCATTACTTTTTTTCAGGAACGGGTAATCTAACTAATAACTACTTCCATCGCTACAACGGCGTTACCGTTAGCGACAGTTAAATGGGGTGCATTATAAACTAAAGCTACTCATTGAAGTTCTTGTCATCCGACTTGGCTCTCAGCCACAGGAGCTGCAAAGCTGCTCACTTTTTCTGTGTTGAGGG